AATAAATAAATAAATAAATAAATGGAATTGGGAGGAAAGAATGGAGAGTCACCCAGTGTGGACATGCTGTTGTGGCACCACTGAATCCAGAACAAGGAATTGCCTCCTTGTGGGAGCACCCAAACAATAAATAAATAAATAAATAAATGGAATTGGGAGGAAAGAATGGAGAGTCACCCAGTGTGGACATGCTGTTGTGGCACCACTGAATCCAGAACAGGGAATTGCCTCCTTGTGGGAGCACCCAAACTCTTAATGTTATTTCTAGCAGCATTCATATAGCACTTAACAATATTTATTATTCTGCTTACATGAGCTTGTTGTTATCCTTACAAACAACCCTGTAAGATAGGTATGTCAGTATTGCATATTGAAGTTTGGTGGTAGGAGTCTGAGTGGCTTGTGTAAGACCACTTAGTGAATTCATGCAAAAGTGAGATTTTAACCAGTGACCAAAACCAGAAGAGGCTGACCATGGTATAGCACACAATCAATGGGAAAGACCACCACTAAAGCTCAACTTCATATAATGGTTCCATTTACATATTGTGTTTTTGTCCCTTTCAGGAGTTATTCAGCGCTGCACAGCTGTGAAGTATCACTACACCTCATCTTCCCTGCCACGCAACTTGCCTGTTAATATTACTAACACCATCCGTCAGGATGAGTGGCATGCCCTCCGTAAGTATCCACAGCTCTTACTGAACATCCTAGTACCTGTCCTGTCAGAGCCAAATAAAACATTCATGATAATCTCATGGTACAGCCCTCCTGTTCTTGTACTACTTAGAATGCTGGTGCAGAAAACTGCATGTTTAAATGCTCTTCGTGGAGAAAGGTTCTAGTTGATCCTTCTCCCGGCCTGACATATTAATTTTCCATGCATAATGCAGAGAAACGTGCAAACATGCTCCATATGCACTTAGGAGGACTATACCATATATCTTTTAGAAAATGTTAGATTCTCTTTGGCCAGCTACAAATCTTTATTTCTTTGTGATTTTGTTCCTGACATAATTTCATTTGTTCTCAAGATAGGAACTCCTTACCTTGTTCAGGTCTATCATCTGATCTTCCCAGGGAGCATCTTATATTGGTTACGTCATACTTTTAACCATTGGTTGCCAAATCATTTTCTCCTTGGATGCAACAATCCCAGCTAAGCTCCACCAGGTCAAGCCCTGTACATTCAATCTCTTTCCTTTGCTATCATCTTCACTCTCTGTGCTGCCTTTGTGGACCCCTTTCTAGAGGCACTGAAACCAGGTGCCAGTCAGTAATCTAGTTTGTATCAATAACAACATAACCCTAGAATAGATCAACAATATATGTAGCCCACATAATGGTTCTGGTCACAGGGCAACCTGATGCCCTCGACATTTAGAGATTGCCTATTCATAATGCTTTCTGGCAGACAGCCATAGATTATCTCTCCCTTATATATAAAGCCGTAGTGGGGCCCAACGTTCCAATTCACACCAACAGTGTTTGGAGGCTTGAACTGTCAGTCAGAAGACGCTGGCTGGGTTGCCTGGCTGCTTTGTGTAGTCCCGCCCATGTCAGCCCCGGCCAGAGTGTTCAGGTCAGTCTGCTCTGGCCCTCTGAC